GCCCAACAGAAATAGCCCAGGTGGATAATTTTTACAATCAGGAGCTCCTCAGTTGCTCACAGCAAATTCCACCACAGAGTTTACAAAGACTTATGGCTAGAAAAGCTATACCAGGTAATTTACTACACCACAGCTGCTAACCATGTCAGCTGTTCAAACCCACCAGCTGATCCATGGGAGGAAGATGAGACGATCTACTTCCATAAAGAGTTTTACAGGCTTTGAAACCCAGTGTGGAGGTTGCTATAAGTCAGAATTGACTCGATGCCAGTGGGTTTGGTCTGGTTACCTATCCCACTTAGTAAGAATTCATACATTTCAAAAATAGAAATATTAAGTGATTCTGGATGTACTGTCCCAGACTCTATTAGGGGTATTATATAATATATAGTATATGTACCTTTGCATAGTGCCTAAGGCATTTGACTGTTAACCAGCAGGCTGGTGGTTCAAACCCACCAACCACTCCTCAGAAGGAAGACTGGGCCAATGTACTTCTGTAGTGATACTGCCTCAGAAACCCAAGGAGGGGTCGCTATGAGTCAGATTTGACTCAATGGCAGTGAGTTTTTTCTTAATACCTGAAAAATTCTGAATTCTAAAATGCACTTGGCCCGAAGAATTTGTGATGAGGATTACTGAAACTTTAATAATAGCTAACTCTATGAACTTGGCACTGTTCTTAGTTTATTTAATCCTTAGAACAATCCTATAAGGATAAATACTATTGTCCTTATCTCATAGATGAGGAAACTGAGGTTCAGAGAGATTGTTATTTGCCTAAGATCACACAGGTAGGAAGTGGTGGAGCTGGGATTTAAACTCAGGCAGTCCAGCTTCAGACTAAAACTTAAGCTTTCTGCTTGTACTTAGCATTGTATATTAACAGCTTTCATGTCATCACACAGTATACCTCCATTCTTTTTCATTAATATTTATTTTTGTTGTTGTTGTTGTTGTCCTTAGCTGCCATTGAATCAGTTTGACTCATGGCAACCGCATGAGCATCAGAGTAGAACTGTGCTGCTTAAGATTTTCAGTGGCTGATTTTTCAGAAGTAAATTGTCAGACCTTTCTTCCGAGAGAGCTCTGGGTGGACTTGAACTTCCAGCCTTTTGACGAGCGGTCGACTGCATTAACCTTTTGACGAGCAGTCGACTGCATTAACCTGTTGCACACCCCAGAGACGCCTTTGTTATTCAGGTGTACCCATGACTTTTATCTTTTCCTGTACCAATATACTTCTAGGATTTTCCTTTTGGAGCTAATGTAAACATGGGGCAGTAAATGTTCTTGCACTTATAGTCTAGTATTTAAGAGAAAATTACTTCATTTAAAAATATTCACTCCCATATAAAATATTTTATTTAGTTGATTCAGAAGCACCGCGGAGAGCTTAAAAACTAGCGATATGCCATAACTTCCTTCACCAATAATTTTAATATATAGTCTAAGAGATATTTATAGTCTAAATAGTTTTTATTGACATAAATTTTCTTACTGCAGTTGGTTGAAAGACTGGAAAAGAAGAGCTGAGTTGGAAGAAAAACAAAATTTGAAGGGAAAAAGGGATGAGAAACAAGAAGGTATTTTGAGTCATTTTTTCCCTGTTTCACCAAACATTTGCAGAATTAGATAGCTATGAAGTTTTAGAAAATTTCTTAATTGGTATTCTGTATTTCCTTTTCTAGATTTTGTAAATAAGATTTCCAACATTTATTGGCAAGAAGTTCATGTGATTTGATCATTGGGTTTTGTAAGGTAGAATTGCTGCCTGATCTTTTATGTGCGTTTGAATAATTTTTCAGATCTGTCGGATAGCATAGATTTTAAAGGCAGTTCAGATGATGAAGAGGAGAGTCGCCTTTGCAATACTGTTCTTATCACAGGGCCAACAGGAGTGGGGAAAACTGCTGCAGTGTATGCTTGTGCTCAGGAGCTAGGATTTAAGGTTCGTAACAGCTATGATGCAGAATATTAGTATATAATTACCCTTGAATTAAAATAAACCGTTCTCCCTTTTTTCATGTATTGTTCATCTAGATATTTGAAGTGAATGCCTCTTCCCAGCGCAGTGGTAGACAAATTTTATCTCAACTAAAGGAAGCCACTCAGTCCCATCAAGTAGATAAGCAAGGTGTGAACTCACAAAGACCTTGTTTTTTCAGTAGCTTCAACATAGGCAAGTCACCAAGTAAGTAAATTATTTTCCTTAAGCTGTAACTTTTTTGGGGAAAACAATCTAAGAAAAAAAAAATTAGTATTTTGCTATTTATTTTTTATTGTTTACATACACACATGCTTTTTGTTTTGTTTTCTATTTTAAAACAAATTTTAAGACCATGATATCATTTCACCTATAAATACTTCAGAATTTATCTGTCACTGATAAGGACTTTTCTTAAAACACAACTACATCATTATCAGACCTAATAAAATTTAATATAAATAAACAAAAAAACCAACCGACTGCCATCAGCTTACTTCTGACTCATAGCAATCCCATTGGGTTTCCAAGGCTGTAAATCTTTGCAGAAGTAGATTGCCTCATCTTCCTTTCATGGAGCAGTGGGTAGGTTTGAACCATGGACCGTCTAGTTAGCAGCCAAATGCCTTATTACATCACCAGAGCTCCTTATAACAAAATTTATGTAACCTAACCATCTGATACCAATTTTCTGTTGTTTCAAATGGTTTGTTCAGATCAGAATCCAAACAAGAGCCATGTTTTATATTTGATTCATGTTTCCTAAGATTTCTTTTTTGTCTTTATAATAGTTTTCTCACCCTTTCTTTTCATGTGATTTATTTGTTGAGAAACCTAGGTCATTTGTCATAGAATTTCTCACCTGCATTTGGCTGATGGTATCCTCAGGGTATCGTTTAACATATTCCTACTTCTTTGGATACCTAATAGTTTTTTTATTATTTTAATAATAAAACCTTTGTGTAATTTACCTTGTTGGATGCTGTATGTATGTGTATTCCTATAACTGTTCTTGAGTTTTGCTCTGAGACACAGTTACTTGGAAACAGGGTGATCTTTTCAGGTATAGCTCTTAAGCTGTATTAGGTAGGACCAGAGCAGCATTTAGTCTACACCTAATTTTGCCTCATTAAAGAGGACCTTTGGTGGAGTAGTGCCTAAGGTATTTAATTACTAACCAGAAGGCTGGAGGTTCAAA